CAAGAGCGGTGCGGTGCACATGGTCTTATGTTAAACTCAGAATACAGCATTTCATAGGATGGAAGGATTTAGATCTTAATAATAGTTCAACAGCAAAATAGAAACAAAGTAAGAAAATAAATTGGATTATATTCTGAAATTCACAGACAGAAGGAGATTTAGTTTTCATCATTAAGTTTGGCACGATTTACTTATTATTCGCTGACGTATCCTCTGTATTTGGAGCCCCCTGGACCCATCAAGATGTTTGATGCTGGGCTTGTTCTGGACTATACTTCAACTGGATATGATGGGGAAAACCGGAGCACCTGGAGAAATCCCACCCAAACACAGGGAGAAACATGCAAACTCCGAACAGAAAGGATCAAGTCTGTGACCTTCTTTCTTTGTCGCAGTTTAGACCAATATGAGACACAAAGCTACATGTCTAAGGGCAATAGATGTGTAACTAATGTTTAGGAACAAATAAATAAATATTGTATTCAATTTGATCCTTAATGTCATCGTCTACAACAAGACGAGAAAATATAAATGTAGACAAATGGTCAAAATAGGATAAAATCTAAATCTAGTTCAGCCAACTCTAATATTATATTTAGCTCAAAAAGTTTTTGATTTGATCCTATTTTGGCCGTTTGTGAAGATATATATTTTCTTTACACGCTGTACACGCATCATCGCACACAAATAAAACAAAACAAATAAAAAGTATTGTCCCTTTGAAAATCATCTTCCACAATAAGTCACAAAACTCATCTGGGACTTAAATAATTATTGAAAATTAATCTGCAGTAAATGTTAACGCTCATGTGATAACTTTAAAACCAATAAGTCATCACGCCTCTGTACTTTTATGGCTTTTTGAGTTCCCTTTTGATAAAATATTATCATGAGTCAATAAAATAATTAAAATAACAATTTAACATGTGTAATTCTCCATGAATGGTTTATTAAATTTTATTGTGATTCTCCAGAGGGCCATAAAGACAGGCCGCATGTTGCTTACAAGGGAAAATTAAATGTATTCAATAAGTGGGAGTCAAATTGATCCAGTCATAAAGTGGCTCACAGACATCAACACTTACAGATTTTATTATATACATTAATTTCAGTCGATGCATAAATATGTTTAAGATTCTCCTCAGACATTGATTTTGAAGTCAATAAACGCTATTCTCTTCTGTTGATGCTGTAATACTCTTCCACAGCTACAGTTTACATTGTTTATATTGTTATTATGTACAAAGTGGCACCTGAGCCTTTCGATCAGAGGAAAATGAGAAATCCAGAGGTGAGTAGTGGCTCTGTGGGTGAATCAGTGTTAGTGGTTCGGCAAACAGCGTTTTTCTTTTAACTTTCAATTCTCCTAAGCATCCGTGCTCCACAGCCTCTGGGGCTATTGCCTTTCTCAATCTGTCCCTGGAGAGCCACGAGTTATGGTCCCTGTCCATTGAGGAGAAAGGGATGTTATTCCCCTGTCACCTCCTGGTCGCGCCGCCATCCTCCCGGGCCTGATCTACGGCCTGTAACCCCCCCCCCCAATTCACCCCCCCTCCTCTGCAGCGCTTTGCTTCATTGTAAGGAGCTGCTGTGTCGTTACCGAGGCGTGTGGAAAAGAGGGTGACAAACATGTGATGGTGGGGGGTCTGGGTCTGCGGGGGGGGACGGGTCCAGGAGGCCTGACTGTGTGGGTTTAAATATTAAAGCTCAGATACCTATTTTTCTTTGCGCTACAACTGAAGGATTTTCTCCTCATTTCAATGCACTGTTGTAATTTGTTATTCTAATCATTTGTCTGGTTTTAATTGTTTTACTGTTTTTGATGTGTTTGGGTCATTGTTTGTAACCGGTGCCTTTTGTGTCCCAGAGGTTTAAAAATAAAGTTACCAATATAATGAATTTTAACCAAGAAACAGAAAGAAACATGTGTATTTGCATAGAATACAAGAAAATATTTGAAAAAAAATACGTTATTCACATTTTTATGAGTCGCTGAGTATCAGATGGCAGAGGAAAATGCATGTCCCCATTGACCAAAGTTACTTTTTCATTCAATCTAAAACCTATATGAATTTCCATTAACCCCATTTTTTCTGCTAATATAATCATATACCTGTCTGCTCTAACTAAAATAAAAGAAAACTGAAAAGTATTCATGTTGGTATGAAATGGTACTTTGTAATCATGTCCCCCAAGTTGGTTCAACCCCGTAACGGCGTGGCATTTTCCACCCTTTTTGAAAATAATTGTTCAGTCCAACCCACTCAACCTTCACAAAGTTACTTACTCAAGTCTTTTCAAGGTCATGCTGTGAAGAGAGGTAATTATTAGCATACATTTTTAACCATATCTCATTTTTGTTGTTGTGAGATTGACATCGTCATGCTCAACCTTTCAACTCTGTTACAGAGATAAACGATATTTATATATTAGATATTGTTGGCGACAACTGTGCGGAAAAGTATATCAATTTCATTATTTCCAAATGCCATGTGGTAACATGTTTGCTAACATGGGAGATATGGCTACTTTTAGCTAGAATCTTCAACCCTGTAACATTCAACTCCGTAACAAAATGAATGGCAAATTCCCTCGTAATATTTGGTATTCCATTTCTAAGGTGGGAAACAGTATTTTACCAGAGGTTCAAATACTCCTTTGTCAGATGCAATGTTCAGAAATGCAATAATTTTTGGTCATTTTTAAAAAAATTCTGAGGACCCAAAAGGCACCCGTTACAGAGAATCACCCGATTAATGTTTTCAATGTGTTTAATGTTTTTGATGTGTTTAATGTTTTTAATGCGTTTAATGTTTTTAATGTGTTTAATGTTTTTAATGTGTTTAATGTCTTTAATGTCTTTAATGTGTTTAATGTTTTTAATGTGTTTAATGTGTTTAATGTTTTTAATGGTTTATTAAATTTTATTGTGATCGAGAGGAACCAGTTGAGGTGGCTCGAGCATCTGTTCCGGATGCCTCCTGGACGCCACCCTGGGGAGGTGTTCCGGGCACGTCCCACCAGGAGGAGACCCCGGAGAAGACCCAGGACACGGACAGGACAGGATCAGTGAGAGGCTGGTGCTAAGTGGACTGGGTGCAACTCTGACTGCCACCCCCGACCCAGAAATGAACTAAGTTAAGGGGAAGAAAATGGATGGATAATTACATGTGTGATTTTAATTGTGTTTTTATGGTGATTTTGGTGTTTTTTATGTGATGATTTGTGCCTTCTGTTGTGTGGACTGTGAAGTGCTTTGTATTGCCCTGTGTCGGAAAAACACCCATAAATATTGATTGATTGATTGATAATAAATTACATTTAGTTTGTAGCAACAAAAGACTTCTGTAAAAGTAAAAGTACGACATGCTTCAAGAATGGTCCTCTCTTTTTCCCTTTCAGTCTGAAGATGTGACAGAGGCAACAACACTTACATCTGGAAAGTATTTGTGTATTTATAAATGTGATTTGATGAATATTTTTTGCATTTTATTGAAACTGTTTTAGTCTTCTTTCAATCAGTCAATTGTCTCCTGTTTTGTTTGTTTTATTTCTGGACGTGTCTTGTGCACACTGGGGACTTTTGCAAATGTATTCCAATGTTTTACTGCAAATGGCAATAAATGAATCTGAATCTGTAAAGATGCCAAGTCTCTCTTTTGAAGTGCAATAAAAATCTACCCACAAGTACAAATAAAGTCTCCTTGAACCTTTGAGCCAAACTAGGCAGATGGATCTTAGTACATACTATTTTTTTTTGGTTAAATGTCGGGTTTTTCAGCTTTAAAACAAAATCTAGATGAGACTTAGCCTGGCCTTACTCTCTGCTCAATCATAATTTCCTGCATGTAACGTTTGGGTCTGGTCCCTGTGTTTGCGATTACAATCGGTGGAATTTCATCCGACCAATCAGAGAGCACGGGAGTCGGGTGTTGTAGTTAGATGTGGGTTACGTCAAGAGTTTGCTCCAAACGGGCAGGTTGTATTTTGGCGAAGAATGCGATAGTAAAGTATTCCGGTCTGGTTCTATCAAGAAACTGAAGCCGGAGCAAGAGGAATGTTTAGCAAAGGTAATCACTGGCAAAAATTGTGGCGCTACTCCCAACGGGCTCTGTTAGCGAGCCTGTGGCTAAAGTTAGGCTAAATGCTAAATGCTAACGACTCACTCGGGCGCAGTACATATCGTTTCAATCTGCAAAAGGAGTTAGCCCCTCCCACCTGTTAACGGAGCTCACCTCCCGACCTTAGTAAGAAATGTAATTTGTACTATAGTGTGGTACGTCCAGGCTAGAGGAGACTAAGTTGAAGTCCCGTACAGCAGTAAACACACACTGTTCCGTTGTGCCACCTGCAGTAAATACACTCTGTACCACTGAGCCACCTGTGGTACATCCAAGTCTGATTTTTGTTAACATAAGGAGCCTCAGGCCCTGTCTACACGTAGCAGGGCATTTATAAATCCGCCCTCCGCCTAAAAAAAAACTTCTGTCCACACAGCCTCGGTTTTTAAAAAAACGGCATCCACACCTAACCGCATACATGCGTTGTCAATTACATTTCAAACCTACAGGCGGCAGTAGTTCCCCAAATTCTATCCAATTACAGCTAGTCTCCGTCCTTGACGTCACTTCCGCAAAACATGAAACATGGCGCAAGGCTCGTTCGTGTGGACTGACAAGGAGGCAGAATTGCTCCTAAACGTACTTTTAGAGTACAAGGTCAACAAGACACAAGAAAACATTGATTGGGAATCTTGCCAAAACAAGTATGTGGACTTATTGACTCTATATTTGGAGCATTATCCCGCGGAGACCTCCAATGACTTTCCCCATGGAAACGGATAGCTAACTCGGGCTATCCTGACAACAAAAATATAGGCCATCAGGAGCAAATATCGCCAGGCAATTGACAGTGGACGCAAAAGCGGGTATGGCAGAGTCGTTCACCTTTATTTTGAGTTATGTGAACAAATATGGGGTGGGTCCCCCGCCACTACAACCATGTCGTCGGGCATTGAAACAAATGACTTGGATGATAGCCTCCCCGCTCCCTCGCCTTCTACGTCCGCTACTACGGAGCCATCTGATGCCGCGTCGGACACCGAGCAGGAGAGTGGGGCACACACAGTCAAACAGAGGAGAGATCTGCTACAGGTATGTTTTTGCATTGGTTAATTATAAACTATACGTTTTGTTTAGCAGTGTTTGTAAAATGGAAAAAAAAAAATATCACTTGTTGGTAAAACGGGTCATAATAAAGTCAAACGTTTTACAAGATTTCCTTTGGTCACTTCTGTTGTTTTTTTATTTAGGCTAAACTGAATGGACACCGGCATGACCGTCTCAAGAGGAAGCTGCCAGCTGAGACCCAGTGGCTTAATGCACTAGAAGAGGACCAACGCGTAAAGAAGAAATTGGTGGACATTATGGAAAACTCAGAAAAACAAGCAAATGACAATTTTGCAAAAATTACAAATACACTCAACATACTCACTACTTCCATTGCTGACGGGTTTTCTCTTCTAAGACAAGTCATGCAGCCACCCCCTACACAACCATTACATTACATGCCACATGAAGCAAGAGGGCACATTTCACCCACACCATCTCTGCAATCAATCCACCCAAATCAACCATTTCAGTCTTTCACAAACAACTCACCTTCTCTTAGAGCAACACAACAAAATGCAAACAGATCCATCAACACACACGATGCAGCACATTCCAACACACCTACTGACAGCACAGGGTTTATTGGGTTTTCCTTTACCAAAGCCCTATTCAATGAGGAATAAGCTGTCAGCACCTGTTAACAGGCATAAGCCCTTTTCAATGATTACGTTCTTATTAATGTACAGGCATTAAGTTTAATGTGTAAAATGCCAAATGTTTATTTGTTGGCAAATAAGGCGGCACTCAAATCTTTTGAGGTTATTTTATTAACACTTTTATTTAAGCAGGGCATTTGAATGCTGTGATATGTTTGCACTGTTATATTTGCACTAAACTCAAAATACCTCTTTCTCAAAGTTTTATATACCTTTTTATTTTTATTTAAATATATATTTGTGTTGAAATGTTCAGTGACGAGCACAATTAATGCTTTTTCAAAAGACAATTAAACGACTTTTCTATGAAATGTGTGCAGTATCAATGCAACATATGAACATACTGCATAACGTAAAAACAGCAGCTTGCAAAATGATGCCACTCTACAAGGGTAACGTATTACAAAAGTAAAAAGTTAAAATACTGTACAATAGTCATTACAACTCAAGTAACGAGTTACAAGTGCATTTAAATGGTTTGTATTCATGTATGAATGAAAAAATGCCACAAAATATAGTAACAAATCAAGTTTAACACTAAGATGTGCAGTTGCGTGTAGGAAACGTCAAAACAAAACATGAGAGAATGAGCAGAATGAAAGAAAAATAAATCTTTGACTGCACTTTTCTTCAGTAGCATCAGTACTATTGTCAGTTTAGATTTTGCCAAAAGAAACTCAAAGTAGTCTAACTCAGCTACATTTTTTAAACAGAAATATGTAAAACAAACATACATTTTTTTAACTACAAACATAGTGTACTATTTTTCAGTAACTTGCCCAACACAGAGGCTGCCGTAGGCCATCAGTAGTCTTTCTACTTGTCCCTTTTATGGATCCAGGTACTGAGTGAGGACTCTCCTGACCCTCTTCCCTTCAGTTGTCAAACGGTCTCCTCTGACATCTGGTTCTGAGGCTGGCTGATAGTCTCTGTCATGCTGAACAGCTTCAGTAACATAGCTGTCATCTACTGGGTCTTTCAAAGCCTCACAGTAATTATGCAGCACGAAACATGAATAAATGACAAAGGGCAGATCGTGAAGATTTATGTCCATAGGTCTCCTCAAAGCTCCAAAACGGGCCTTCAGCCTTCCAAATGCACATTCTATGACCATGCGTGCTCTGCACAGAGATAGTCCAAAATACTGCTCCTGGACAGTGCTTCCTCCGTTTGCATACTCTTTCATTAGGTAAGGCAGTAAGGGGTACGCAGGGTCGCCCAAAATGTATACTGGGATGGGTGCTTCATTCTCAACAACTTGTTTAGGACATGGAGGTATTGTTCCACTTTTGAAAATGTTATTGAGGGTCGACTTGGCGAAAACACGAGCATCATGGACGCTTCCAGGCCATTTAACCACCACGTCCATGAAGCAGTATTTATAGTCACAAGTGGCCTGAATGTTTAAAAAAAAATTCCCCTTTCTGTTAATGTAATCTGTGGAATTAGCCGATGGTTGCTTAATTCCAATATGAGTGCCATCGACAGCACCTAAGCACTGGGGGAGGCCATGGGATTGTTCAAATTTCTCCACAAGTGTCTGCACCGCACATTCACTTTTTGGCAGCTGTATGAACTGGGATCCCAAGTGCACAGTTATAGCTTTACAGACCTGCCGAACTATGTTTGAGACAACCTGCCTCGATAAACCAAATGCATTTGCCGTTTTTCGTAATCTTCCCTCGTCAGATAAATAGTACAGCGTGCAAGCAACTTTCTTGACGACACTGACCGGCGATCGCATGACAGTGGACTGTCCTTCTATGTGAGGAAGTAATAACTCCGACAACGACAGCAGTGAGGACCGTGACATTCTGAAATTGTCTCGCCATTCCTCCGGGAGGACGACTTCCATCTCAAAGTTCTCCCACCAGCTGGCAGTGCGTCCCGGTCTGACCCAAAATCGCCGTTGCCGTCTTTGACGAGGAACATGTCTTGGACGAGGGATGGTTATTTGGCGGAAAATAGCCGACCTTAAAGTGCTCCTTCGTCTGTGCTCTTCAACGTGAAGCAGTATTTGAGCTTGTAAAAACAAGCAAGAAAAAAGTGCCTGAACAATCGTTAAAACAAAAGCGGTTTTGATGGCCTCCATGTTGTTTCTGATGTAAACACAGGTCGCGCGTGTGACGTCAGAGCAGCACGCTGGTAGTGACGTACAGCCGAATACTCCGGTTATATATGTCCACACTCAAACGCATAACCGGAGAATTCCCAAATCTTCACTTTGGCCGGAGTTTTCAGAAACCTTCGTTTTTATCGACAGAAAACTCCGGGTTTGTGTGGATGATAGGCCAGATCGTAGGAAAATATCTTCGGTTTGTGAGATACCCTGCTACGTGTAGACGGGGCCTCAGAAGACTTCCAGAGACCTTCAGAGCTTGAGCCCATTTCCATAATGACCAACCTACCGCTTCTTATAGGCTTCACTGCACCTTAGGCAAATGTGTGGCTTGCGAGGGCCTTTCTGGGTGAGGGAATAAATAAATAAGCAAATAAATAGATGAATAACCCAGAGGATGTGTAGCTGCTGTACTATGGCCATCCATCACACATCCCATTACCACACACTCAGCGCCACTCGCCGTATGTATAATGTAGTCAACCTCCATAAGCAGCTACAAATTCTACTCTTTTCGTTCCCAATTTGTTATATGTGACAGCCCTACAGCCCGCCCATGCCTTGTTGTTTCTGTGAATTATAAATAGTTTCTTCTTTCCAAACTGCAGCTGAGTGCTCTTATGTAGAACAGCTGTGGAAAACAAATTCAAGAAGCTTGGTGCGTACAAAAGCGTTTACTTTTGTGTTACAGCCACTTAAGAAGAAGACCAAAGACTCAATATTTAATTTTCGTGACTTTTCCGGGTTGATATTCAAAAATACATATTGACAGACTGAAAATGAGACTAGATCCTCGAAGATTTGCGCTCAATATTGTGCCATGATGGAGCAAAAAGTCAATAAAAGATAGTTTATTATTCATGAATTCATCCTTATAGACACTACCCTGGTCATACCATACCATAGTACTCATTTAATTTCGACAGTGGCTCAGTTGGTAGAGCATTGGCCTGCAATAAACACAGCTATAAATCATACAATAAACGGTAATAAATGCTTGAATCAAGTGGTACTATCTTAATGTGAGCACTTTTAGACTGTCTGAAAACAAGATTTCCCAATGAGACAAGCAAAAATGTCTTGCTTTTAAAAGATACAAGACAATTTAAAGCAGTAATATGTAAGATTTTCATGTCACGTCATCATTAAAGGACCCTAATCTGTCATTGTTAAAGGGCCCTAATCTGTCATCATTAAAGGGCCCTAATCTGTCATCATTAAGCGCCCTAATCTGTCATTGTTAAAGGGCCCTAATCTGTCCTCAGTAAAGGGTCCTAATCTGTCATCATTAAAGGGCCCTATTATGTCATAATTAAAGGGCCCTACTCTGTCATTGTTAAAGGTATTTTATCTGGCATCATTTAAGGGCCCTAATCTGTCATAGAGTTTTGTTCGGGCCTAAAAAATTAAGCCCGACCCGGCCCGAGCCCGCTAATGTTAAGCCCGAGCCCGTATAAGCCCGACCAATGAATGCTGTATAACAGGCCCGAGCCCGACAGAACCCGACACATCTGATTTCCCGTTGTACGCACTCACCTTCCAATTGCAAGTTTAGTCTCCACTTTTGAATTTGTTTTGTCTCCACTTGATCCATTTCTACTATTGTTCCTCTTCGCTGTTGACCACAGCATGCAGCAGGAGACACGGGGATGATGCGTTCACGGCTCGCTGCTGCTGTAGGACACGCTGGTTACGGTGTCATTAATATATTAACTTTTTTAAATAACTATATATTAAATATATATATATATATATATATATATATATATATATATATATATATATATATATATATGCAAATCATTATGTATAAAAATAATTTAAAAATAATTATGATAATAATATAAAAGAAACATATATTTAAAAAAAGAAGCCCGAGCCCGGCACGAACCCGACAGCTGAGCGCCAAATGAGGCCCGAGCCCGGCCCGAACTCAGGTCGGGCCTCGGGCCTGCTCGGGCTCGGGCTGAAAAGCGAAACTTTAATCTGTCATCATTCAAGGGCCCTAATCTGTCATCATTAAAGGGCCCTAATCTGTCCTCATTAAAGGGTCCTAATATGTCATAATTAAAGGGCCCTAATCTGTCATCATTAAAGGACCCTAATCTGTCATAATAAAGCCTGCTCTTTTCCAATACTTCTTTAACTGATAACAGTAGTTCAGAGATATTTGAATATCTAAATTACTTTTACAGCCGCTAAATCTTGTTATTGTTTTCATTTCGATGTCCCGCCCTCCACCGTTTCACCAATCAGAGAGTCTGTGATCCGGGGCCAGAACTCACCGCGTGGAGCTAATCTCAATGATAAAATACCATGTGGCGCAGAACTAAAAAAGGTCTCGTTATGATTCTCAAATCATTAACGACAAAACAAGGAATAAAACCAGGATTTCTATCTTTGTGAAAAAGGTGTTGGTTATAGATTTGTTGTTGACAAAACTCTTGTCTATTCAGCTGTTATGGTCCCAGCTGGATTCGTCTGCATATCTGGCAACCCGAGTGAGGGAGAGTGGGAGAGGCTGCAGTACCACTTTTGGCCACATTTTTAAATACTGCTTAAATAAATGTCTTCCTTGGAATAAGACTAAACGGCTTGCTCCATCTGCAAATCTTGTTTTAGGAAAGTCAAAATATTGTCAAATTAAGATTAATAAAAAACTTGATTGAAGCATTTATCACCTTATACTGTCACTTTTTGCGGTGATAAACTATGAATAATAACACAATAGACAGTGGTCGCCTGTTTTTTCCCTGTGCGGCGAGAGCAGGCGTGAAGCAGAGAAGTGTGTTTTGTGGATTTGGCTGAACTCTCTGAGCCTGTTTGGGTTCAGCAGATGTAGAATTAGTCCACATCACTTTGCATCAGTGAGACATTAAACACAGGCTGCCACTCAGAGGCCAAATACCTCAGTCCACATCTCAGAGCTCGGTCTCGGTCTCGGTCTCTTCGTCAGTCTCTCAGTCTCGGTCTCAGTCTCTGCCTCAGTCTCTCGGTCTCTGCTTCAGTCTCTCGGTCTCTGCCTCGGTCTCTCGGTCTCTGCTTCAATCTCTCGGTCTCTGCCTTGGTCTCTGCCTCAGTCTCTGCCTCAGTCTCAGTCTCTGCTTCAGTCTCTGCCTCAGTCTCTGCCTCAGTCTCTGCCTCAGTCTCTGCCTCAGTCTCTGCTTCAGTCTCTGCTTCAGTCTCTGCCTCAGTCTCTGCCTCAGTCTCTGCCTCAGTCTCTGCCTCAGTCTCTGCTTCAGTCTCTGCTTCAGTCTCTGCTTCAGTCTCTGCTTCAGTTTCAGTCTCTGCTTCAGTTTCAGTCTCTGCTTCAGTCTCTGACTCAGTCTCTGCCTCAGTCTCAGTTTCAGTCTCTGCTTCAGTCTCTGCCTCAGTCTCTGCTTCAGTCTGAGGTCTGCATTCCGTTCTGGGGTTTGGACCATCCATAAAAATGTAACACATGAATGAAAACCTGGAGTTGAAACCTCACAGGAGTTTGGACTTAACTGAGTATACACTAATACATTTTATAAAACTTTATAAACTTAAGAGGCTCTGCTTTTTCAGCGTCTACCAGTTGCTTTGGCACTGAGCAGGACAGGGCCTGGTTAGTGCTGTGATGGCAGACCTCTGGAAACACCAGGTGCCACAGTGGGGTGGCGGTGGTGTGAGGGGCCAATGGCACAGACTGGCTGCCTTGCTTCTGTCAGTGTGCCCCAGGGCAGCTATGGCTACTGTGGTAGTTTTTTTTCACTATGTTCGGAGAGAAAGATCAATGAAGAGACTTTGAGAGTCTGAAAACTGCTGTATTAAACCAATACATTATTTTGTATTATTATTATTATTGTTAGATACTTTTAGAATTATGCATTTATTTGTTTTGTCTGATTGGATGCATGTGTTTCTGCTGGTACTGGACACCGGAATGTATCCTACAATTATCAATAAAATATTTAACTGTTGATCGATCGATAGATCTATCCCTATTTATCCCACAGACCGAAATGAAAATGAATGATTTAATTTGGTGACAATATGCACGTTTACATGAACTGATGAGACTACTTTTATGTTTTCTGTCCATTCTTTTCCTTTACCTTTGGCTTAAACTGAATTTAAGTTTTAAAAAAAAATATAATCCGCAGCACCAAATGCAGTACACGTATTGGTTTGGACTATTTAAAGATACATTAACAATGAGCGTGTAAATAAACCTGGTCAAATCTAAACTACAATTACCCTTTTTCCACCAGATAAATGCAGAGAAAATCTTCGTTCTTACAGTTTCCCCTGTTGCATGTCAGTGGATATGGTTAAACAGACATGACAAGTGATAGTGTAAGAGCAAGAGGAGGAGGTGGAGGGGCTGAGGAGGAGGAGGAGGGGGGCTGAGGAAGGGGGGGATGTCAGCTGCAGGATCTGGCTGTAATCTGCCGAAGATGCATGCAATACGCCGCAGCACTTTATCTGGAAGGCCCCTAATTGCAGCGATGCTATAAAACACATGTCAGAGAAGCAGGAAGGAGAGTCAGATGTCACGCATGGTTCCTACAAGAAGAGCCGAGAAAACTGGATCTGACACGTGTACGGATCTGCAAGAGGCGATCCTAGTTCTACATTTATGCCTTTGAGACACCATCATAAAAAATGTAAATACAATGACAAAGTGCATATCTACACTGGAAAAAGTATTTAGAAATCCATCCTAATTTAGGCGCCGCCTCACATCATACATCCATCATACGCACATACTGTATATCACTCATGTAAATATCACCATAGGTTAAAATGTTACGTGCATCTGCTGCGCATACAACAGCTGAGGTGGCTCATCTATTCAGGGTGCCTCCTGGACGCCTCCCTGGGGAGGTGTTCTGGACACGTCTCACCGGGAGGAGGCCTCAGGAAGACCCAGGACACAGAGGGACTATGACTCTCTCTGGCCTGGGAGAACCTTGGGGTCCCCCCGGACGAGCTGGATGAAGAGTGTGTGGATAGGGAAGTCTGGCGTCTCTGCTTAGACTGCTGCCCCCACGACCCGGCAATGGATGAGGCGGAAGAAAATGGATGAATAGATGGATGATTGTGAGCATGGGCCACCACTGTCTTTTGTCCCTACTCTTAACTGTGTGACCTGGGGGGTGTATATGTCGTTGATGTCGTTGGTCTCTGGGTCTCCGGGTCTATAGGTCAGGGTCTCTTGGTCTCTGGGTCTATAGGTCAGGGTCTCTTGGTCTCTGGGTCTCTGGGTCGGGGTCTCTTGATGTCTAGGTCTCTGTGTCTCTGGGTCTCTCTTGTGGGTGGCTCCCTCTCCCCCCCTTCAATACAATCCATCTCTCTCCAAAGCGACACAATGGCTGAGTGGTTAGCAATCTCGCATCTCAACAAGAAGTTCTTGGGTTCCAATCCCGGTCGGAACAGTGCCTTTCTGGGTGGAGTTTACATGGTTCTCCCTGTGCCTGCGTAGGTTTCCTCCAGGTGCTCCAGTTTCCCTTACCATTAAAAACATGTACAATATAAGTCTGACATGTAGGCGACCTTCCTGGTACTATTATTCTTTTGTTTTCACCTATATCCACCTGGTTTGGGCCTAGATTCTAACACTCACATTACCACATGAGTATATTATTATATTTCCATGATTGCAGAGTGGACATAATAGAAACCTAGTGTATTATTCCTTCTTAAAAGAGCCTCTACTGTAACCTTCGCCTAAACATCGTAATGGTCTGTCTTTGTCTGAGTCTATCCGGGCCACGAACACCCACACAGTTCTTTCCCTTTCAATCCTCGTCCAATCCATACTTATTATTTGGCACTTGTCCTTCTTCAGCGCTCACATCTGCCACAACTGTCTTTCTACAGCAGACATTGTGTAAAACCAACTGGGAAAATGGAAAGATGGAAAGATGAACTATACAGAGAGATTCCATCAGGCCCCCACCCACCAGGCCTCCATACATCAGGCCCCCACTCACCAGGCCCCCATATCAGGCCCCCACTCACCAGGCCCTCACACCAGGCCCCTACACCAAGTCCCCACACCAGGCCTCCACCCCCCAGGCCCTCACACCAGGCCCATACCCACCAGGCCTCCATACACCAGGCCCCCACACCAGGCCCCTACACCCAGCCCCCACCCAGCAGGCCCTCACACCAGGCCCCTACACCAGGCCTCCATACACACCAGGCCCCCACACCAGGCCCCCACACCAGGCCCCCACACCAGGCCCCCACCCACCAGGCCCCCCACCCAGCAGGCCCCTACACCAGGCCCACACCCACCAGGCCCTCACACACAAGGCCCCTACACCAAGCCCCCACCCACCAGGCCCCCAAACCAGGCTCCCACACCAGGCCCCCAGCCACCAGGCCCTCACACCAGGCCCCCACTCACCAAGAAAAGAGCCGACCTTGTACGAGCGAGATCCCACTATCGTTGGACGAGATTGGGGACGTAATTGTTGGAGAATGGAACCCATATGTTTGTGCAGTATATGGGAAATAACATGTTGGACGTGGATCAATGTAAGAAAAAACTTGTTTATTTTGGTCAGAAAAAAGCAAAAATTGGTAAGATTTATTCACAAAAAATAAGAAATTATGCTTATTTTCTTTTTTTTCTATGGCGCATGGATCAATGTAAGAAGAAGCTTATTTATTTTGGTCATAAGCACTGAGAAGAGTAAAGTCTTTAGATTTTCTAAAAATAACATAAATTATGCTTAAGTTTTTGTTGCTTGAATGTAGTTTGTCACAAGAATACAATACAATACAATTTATTCTTGTATTTCCCTAAATCCCAGCAGCATCATCTCAGAGACTTAACAAAACCATTGAAATCACTAGTTTCACTTTCTTGTTCAGATAAAATAAGTTTGTGATGCTGTATTTTAAGAAAACATAAAAAAAATTTAAGAAAAAAGTAAATAATCTTTGAAATGTATGTTTTTAAACTAGAATCAAGTCGTTTTAGGCTAGTTTTATTTTATAGTATTATTTATACCACATTAGTAGTGCCCCCTTCACTGGGGTAGAGCAATGGCCTTTCAGCCTGAAGGTCGTGGGTTCGAGCCCAACACAAGACCTTCTCCACCAACTCCCACTGATGTCTGCTGTCGTTGTGTCCTTGGGCAAGACACTTAACCCACTTTGCCCATAGGGAGAGCGGAAGAAATATATATCTACATTTATTTATCGGTCATCTGCCCCAAATGTGTTTTCTGTTCTATTTATTGATATATATTTATCTATATTCATGCTTGTACCGTGTCCTTGGGTGTTTTGAAAGGTGGCTTAAAATGAAATGTATTATTATTATTATCATCATTATTATTATTATTATTGTGTTTGAACTGCTGATTCTCTGATCTGTGTTGGCAAATTCAACGGTTTTGTAAAGTCCTCTGAGAAAACTACTGTTCGTGGGTTGGCGTCCACCGCGAGACCTTCTCTAACAACTCTCACTGAGGTCTGCTTTCAGTGTGTCCTTGGGCAAGACACTTTACCTCACTTTGTCCATAAGGAGCACGGATGTGAATGTACGCTCCATTCTCCAATTCGACAGTAGCAGACATTTCTGTACTTTCCCGTGTCATTGACCCATTTATTACACATTAGTACAGTTCAGTACAGTTCAGTACAGTTCAGTTTGGACTGAGATTTCTTCTACACAATATTATCGTAGTTTGAATGAATACTGCTGTTCAAGGGCAGTGAGCTTTGTGTGAAGTGCCTTTTTTCCAATTATACAATAAAATGAAAAACATTATTAAGTATTCTTACTGAGCTCATTCACCTTTTTATTTAGAAAGCGTAAAGAAGAGTAAAACCATTTTATTATATATTTATGTGTCCAGTTTGTAAAAAAAATGATTTAAATTATTTAAAAGTAATAATTTTGTGACATTTTGTGACAATGCAAAATCTAAAATATGAGATGGTTGATGATCGATTGCTTTTATGGGAATATATGAATATATATGTGATATATATTCGTCTGCATATCTGGCAACCTGAGTCAGGGAGAGTGGGAGAGGCTGGAGTACCACTTTTTCCCATATTTTACACACAGCTCCTTTAACAATGCCATTCCTTACATCTGCATACATTTTCCCGTGTGACTGATTTCCATTTTCCGAGTCTACTTTCACACATCACTTTTCTCTTGTGTAGAAAAGCTGCAGCTAATGTAGCACATAATAGACTGTGACACTCAGTTATTACTACAATCGTCTCCTTTTCAAAAACACGACTTCCGCAGGTGATTTCAATTTCTCTGCCTGCGCCTCATTCGGCAAAACGTGTCAAAGAGACTGATTTAACAAGTGAGACAGTGTCGGAGGGACGCGCAAATCCCACACGGTAAATCACAGCAGCGCTAGTACTATTCAAATGTGATTGTGGAAGTCATAAACCACAGGCCGCGTCTGTTTTCTCAACGAAGACGACTCATTATAGATTATTTGCATTCACTGATATTTACGCTGCCATAAAACTGCACATGATGTACGGCGGCGTGGCATTTTTTTGTCGGGCTAAACATGAACGTGTGGTTTGTCTGTAAACGCTTCACCCTTTAAGACAAATAATGCAAATTGACATAAAGGGCATGCTTTGAATTACAGTATAATCAGCAACTACGGCCTCTTAGTGTTTCATTACGCCGCTTTGAAATGTGTTCTTCCAGACTTTTCCGTTACTAAATGATGGTGAGATGACTGGGAGCAGAGCGGGTCAGGCAGAGAAATTCAATCCAGGCTTTTCTGGTTTGTGTTTGAAGGAAATTTTGTATTTAAGATTGCGGCCAGTGTGTTTTAAAGCAGTATTTTTGTCGAGTTTTGGCGAGATCGCGTCTGGGATAATACAAACAAAACTCAATTTACTGAATGTCATTAAAGCTGATTTTTTTCTTTTTTTTGGAGAGTTCTGGCAGCAGACTACTACGAGGAAAAAAATCAAAATAAATCAGAGCGGGCCTTTGGCAACGCAACCACTTGTAACACAGCCATTTCTAAAGGCAAGGTTACAGGTGCGGCCATGCTAGCACGAGGTATGCCAACGGAAAAAAGGTACACAACAAATATTTGACTTATTCTGAGCGTGTAGATTTCGAATATCTTCTTACTAGTTAAAAAGTAGGGAACGAGGGCTGACCTTCCCTGTTCTTTTTGACGCAAATTTCCGAACGGTTGTGCTTTTTGGGAAGCAAGGTTAGCAGAGTATTAAAATCAAACAAATTAAATGATGTGATTATGTGTATCGCTAAAGAGGGAAACGAATTCTCTGAAAGTATAACCTCGGGCGAATCTTTACAGCACCAAAATACACAGAGTAATTAACTGGAGAAGCAGGAATTAAGGTGGAAATGTGATGAGATTGGTCACTGGTCAAAACCACATTAAATCTTCAGCTTCTGACAAAATCTATGGTAAAGAACCATTTGGTAATTATAGGAAAACACGGTGGACAAAGGTAGAAATGTTCTACTCTGTAAGAAATTGATTTGTTATTGGGTGTTCAAGAAAAGTGTTAAAATGAATCGTCTTCTAAGTTCAGTACTTTGGTGATTTGAGCCATCAAAAACTGAAACTAAAATGTGTATTTGAACAAACTTATCTAAACAAATATAATTTTTGCATACACTTTTATCCTATTTCACTCTACGTTCACGTTTTCATGTGTAGTTGTGTGCTCATGACTTTTTAGACTAAGATTATATTTTAATGGCTGAGTGGTTAGCACTCTCGCTTCTCACTAAGAAGGTTTTGAGTTTGAATCTTGGTCAGAACAGGGCCTTTCTGAGTAAAGTTTGCATGTTCTCCCGGTTTCTGCGTAGGTTTCCTCAGATGCTCCGGTTTCCCCTACCACTAAAAACATGTACAATAGTTCAGGGTGAATAAGTGTGTTTGTGAGTGCGACTGTAGGGACAACAGAGTGTACTGGAGTGATGTGTTCATAAACATGTACTGTCCCAACCAAATAAACAATAAATAAATACATTTAATTGATTTTAATAGTTTTTATTTTATTATAATTGTTTTTTATTTGATTTATTTAAAATCTTTTTTTAATTGTTTTTATTTTATTTTATGTTTTTAATATAATTTGTATTGGTTTTTTTAATTATCATTTTTATTTTATTTAATTTTACTTGTTTTTATTTAATTTTACTTAATTTTTTTATTTTACTTGTTTTTATTTAATTTTATTGTTCAAATGTAATTTTAATTGTTTTCATTTATTTTATTTTATTTAAATTGTATTTATTTAAAGCTGGCAGACTTGTATATTCTAACGTGTTACTTTTATCTGTGCAGCACTTTGGAATTTTTTTTTATAAATGTGCTATATAATTAAAGTGGATTGGATGTGAGACATGTTTTTGACAATCTGAGGCTGGAACAGAAACAAGGCCAAGGTTTAAATGAAAACGACAGCTTTATACAAGAAGAGTGTTTTATGTCTTTAAAAATGCAGTAACGGACTCACATGCCGCCGGCTCCTCCGGTCGGGCCGGGCCTGGACCACTGCTGCAGCTGGACCCAGTGTGGGTCTCCTCTTGGCTCGGACTCAGGGGGAGGCTGGTGGGCCGAGAGGTCGTGGAACTAGATGGTCTGGAGCTCGCACCGTTCTATAAGAATCAATTATAATAATTACTGAATAAAAAACAGTATCAAAAATAAAACCCACAAGTAACAAATAATAACAAATAATCTGTCATCATTAAAGGGCCCCAATCTGTCATCATTAAAGGGCCCTACTCTGTCATCATTAAAGGGCCCCAATCTGTCATCATTAAAGGGCCCCAATCTGTCATCATTAAAGGGCCCTAATATGTCATAATTAAAGGGCCCTAATCTGTCATCATTAAAGGGCCCTAATCTGTCATCCTTATAGGAATAGTTCACCGTTTTTACATACTGACATATGTTCTTACCTTACCTTAGACTAGTTAATATGTACCTGTCTGGTCTTAGTCCGTGCGCTCTGTCATGCAAACGGAGCAAAAACGGGAGCACAAACGCAGCCTCCTCTGTATACTGTATAGTACCCAAAAGGTATCTCCCGCTAGAAGCTACCAAACTCTTCCAAGTGTTCCCTATTAAATGTATATAGTTACGTGACGTGTTACACTGCAAAGTATAGTAACACAGAAATGTAACTGTCGATTTTCTCAGCGGATAAAACGGGTACTATATTGTGAGGCGTAGTGATCTGAGGAGCGCTACGTCCGCGCATTAACTTCTCTCCGTACTACAAGTCACGCTGCTTCTATTGACGGAAGTGAGCGAGAGAGAAGTCTCCGGAGAGAAGTTAGTGCGCGGACGTAGCGCTCCTCTTCCTCTTCTAAATTAGAATATAATTCTAAAATTAAAATATACAGTATATATATATATATATATACTGTATATTTTAATTTTATATTCTAATTTAGAATCCGAAGCCCTAGTTTTTAGCAGCGCTGTAGGGGCTAGAGGACGCAAGCCGTTCGCCGCTCGTTCTGTGAGCGGAGGAGAACGAGCGGCCCGCTCAGACTCTACTCAACACTTTTCACTGCTTGTAATTCTTACACAGCTGAATCAATTACCTCAAATTTTCAATTAAATTAGGGATTATAATACAACTTGTATGTAGTAATACGCATTTTTATCAACTACTTAGAAAAAAATCGGGTATAGCTTCTTTAAAGGGGCCTAATCTGTCCTCATTAAAGGGCCCTAATCTGTCATCATTAAAGAGTCCTAATCTGTCCTCATTAAAGGGCTCTAATCTGTCATCATTAAAGAGCCATAATCTGTCATCATTAAAGGGCCCTAATTTGTCATAATAATAAACTGCTCTTTTCCAATACTTCTTTAACTGATAACAGTAGTTCAGAGATATTTGAATTGTAAATTACTTTTCCAGCCCCTAAATCTTGTTATTGTTTTCCTTCTGATGTCCCGTCCTCCACTGTTTCACCAATCAGAAAGTCTGTGATCCGGGCGCCAGAACTCACCGCGTGGAGCTAATCTGATAAAATACCATGTGGCGCAGAACTAAAAAAGGTCTCATTATGATTCTCAAATCATTAACGACAAAACAAGGAATAAAACCAGGATTTCTATCTTTGTGAAAAAGGTGTTGGTTATAGATTAGTGGTTGACAAAACTCTTGTCTATTCAGCTGGTCCCAGCTGGATTCGTCTGCATATCTGGCAACCTGAGTCAGGGACAGTGGGAGAGGCCGCAGTACCACTTTTGGCCACATTTTTACATACTGCTCCTTTAATACCGTGTCGAAACATGAATTAAGGTCAAAAAAGTAATCCAGAGCCAATATAATCTGTATTTCAAAGATGTCAGGTGCAGCGGCATCAACAGTGTTTGACGGGGGGGAGGGCAGTGCAGCGAGGGGGGGTTGTTTTTTATTTGGGTCTTGCTACTGACAGCTTTATTTCACAAAGCAATCTGGCAGTGTGTGTACAAGGGAGAGGTCAGGGTGGGTCAAGAGACAGTGGGTATGAGCCGGCAGCTCATACCCACTGTTTGCGGGTCCAAACAGCGTCTGGGGCGGCTGTGACCTCTGCTTATGGAGTGAGATACTAAAAAGAAAAAGTCCAAGGGGGTCAACAGAAGTGTGCGATTAAAAAAAAGCGCTCAGTGGAATTTTTATGAGACGGTCAAGGCCAGAACAGCAAACGAGCCGGTGCTTTATTCAAAAGACGGTAATGCAACTTTAAACTTTGTCATTATCGCACTGCAGAAAATAACAAATTATAAGGTGGTAAAGGCTTGAATTAAAGGTTTTTATCTTAGTTTGAGCACATTTTTACTGTCAAAAAACATGCTGTGATGAGACAAGTAAAAATGTAAAAATGTAAAAATAAAAAACAAAGTTTAATCTAATTGAATCTATAATAAGATTTAATGGTTCGTTCCATTTGCAAATCTTGTATTAAACAAGTCAGAATAAACCGTATTTTCCGGACTATAAGCTGCACCTGGTTACATCTACTGGTCTATTTTCACTTTCATTTCTGTACAAAGAAAAAAATATTTATGAGATATATACACAAAAAGGTATTATAAATCTACAAGTTTAGGTTTATTTTGGTTACAAACAAATCAAAACATGTCTATTTAATTATAAAAAAGGAAGGTAACCAGAAAAGGTGTTTATAATGCTTACCCTATTAACAAAACAACATCTACCCAACTAAATAGTAAATGCACAAACATGTATATGTAATTACACGGATATCTACACATACAGTGACAGCGACAGTGGCTCAGTTGTTAGAGCATTGGCCATTGTGCCAGAAGGTTGTGGGTTCGAGTCCACCACATAATTTTCTCCACCAACTCCCACTGATATCTGCTGTTGTTGTGTCCTTGGGCAAGACACTTAACCCACTTTGCCTATGAGGAACGCGGAAGTGATGTTTGCTGCTTGCCTTGATGTGTATATATACAGTGTCTTGCCCCCTTGAACCTTTCAACATTTCGCCACATTTCAGGCTTCAAACATAAAGATATAAAATTTTAATTTTTTGTCATGAATCAACAACAAGTGGGACACAATCGTGAAGTGGAACAAAATGTATTGGATAATTTAAACTTTTTTTTTGCGGCGTGCAATATTATTCGGTCCCTTTACTTTCAGGGCAGCAAACTCACTCCAGAAGTTCAGTGAGGATCTTTGAATGATCCAATGTTGTCCTAAATGACTGATGATGATAAATAGAATGCACCTGTGTGTAATCAAGTCTCCGTATAAATGCACCTGCTCTTTGATAGTCTCAGGGTTCTGTTTAAAGCGCAGAGAGAACCATGAAGACAAAGGAACACACCAGGCAGGTCCGAGATACTGTTGTGGAGAAGTTTAAAGAAAAAAGATTTTCCAAGCTTTAAACATCTCAAGGAGCACAGTGCAAGCAATTATATTGAAATAGAAGGAGTATCAGACAACTGCAAATCTACCAAGACCCGGCCGTCCCTCCAAACTTTCATTTCAAACAAGGAGAAGACTGATCAGAGATGCAGCCAAGAGGCCCATGATCACTCTGGATGAACTGCAGATAACTACAGCTGAGGTGGGAGAGTCTGTCCATAGGACAACAATCAGTCGTGCACTGCACAAATCTGGTCATTGGAAGAGTGGCAAGAAGAAAACCATTTCTCAAAGATATCCATAAAAAGTCTTGTTTAAAGTTTGCCACAAGCCACCTGGGAGACACACCAAACATGTGGATGAAGGTGCTCTGGTCGGAAGAAACCAAAATCAAACTTTTTGGCCACATGCAAAACGATATGTTTGGCATAAAAGCAACACAGCTCATCACCCTGAACACACCATCCCCACTGTCAAACATGGTGGAGGCAGCATCATGGTTTGGGCCTGCTTTTCTTCAGCAGGGACAGCGGCGATGGCTAAATTGATGGGAAGATGGATGGAGCCAAATACAGGACCATTCTGGAAGAAAACTTGTTGGAGTCTGCAAAAGACCTGAGACTGGGACGGAGATTTATCTTCCAACAGGACAATGATCCAAAACATAAAGCCAAATCTACAATGGAATGGTTCAAAAATAGACGTATCCAGGTGTTAGAATGGCCAAGTCAAAGTCCAGACCTGAATCCAATCGAGAATCTGTGGAAAGAGCTGAAGACTGCTGTTCACAAACGCTCTCCATCCAACCTCACTGAGCTCGAGCTGTTTTGCAAGGAAGAATGGGAAAGAATTCCAGTCTCTCGATGTGCAAAACTGATAGAGACATACCCCAAGCGACTTTCAGCTATAATTGAAGCAAAAGGTGGCGCTACAAAGTATTAGCGCAAAGGGGCCGAATAATATTGCACACCCCACTTTTCAGTTTGTATTTGTTAAAAAAGTTTAAATTATCCAATAAATTGCGTTCCACTTCACAATTGTGTCCCACTTGTTGTTGATTCTTGACAAAAAAATTAATTTTTATATCTTTATGTTTGAAGCCTGAAATGTGACGAAATGTTGAAAGGTTCAAGGGGGCCGAATACTTTCACAAGGCACTGTATGTATGTGCAAATCTATGTGTATATGTATGTGAATCTGTGTGTATGTATCAAAATGAAATTTCCCCATTGTGTGATGAATAACACAAGACATGGTTTTGTCTTTTTGTCTTTTTAAATTTATACTATATTTCATCTGCTTGATTGTATTGGATCTATGTGAACTACTCTTCTGTTGTTCTTCTGCCACAGAAAAAAAAAAAAAATTATATTAAGCTGCAGTCTTCAAAATGCAAGAGAAAATTGCGGTTTATAGTCTGGAATTTACGGTCTCAAATTAAGAAAAAACCCTTGATTCAAGTATTTATGCTCTTATATTTTGTCGTTTGTTTTGCAAACGTGTTGTGTGTAAAGTTCTCCTATACTGTGTGTTTATTAATTCAGACATTTTTCAATCTGTAACAGAAGAAACAGATTATGTCAAAATCCAAAAACAAAACGACTGAAAGAGTTTAGGGTGAAGTGAAGTTATCGGAGTCTAAAACGCTATTTCTACCATCTTATTACTTATCATTATAATTTTATTATATATCATCTTAAATAATAGACCCTGTTTGATGCAATCTGAGTCCTTCTTTATGTTTGTTTGTGTTTGTGTTCTATTTTTTCAATTTATCTCAGTATATTAAAATGTATATATATCATAGACGCTATATAATAACGGACGTAGTCACGCCTATCTCCGCCGTTCTAATGGGCCAAAAAATGTGCTTTACTGGAGCTATCCAAAATGGCTGCGAGTGGTCCCGCCCACAAGAAAATTGTAAAAAAACGCATCTGCGCATGCGTCAGCCGGCGCAGCTCCATTCATTTGAACGAGAGACTTCAAAAATTCACAGCAAGTAAACTAGAGTGGACCAAAAAAATCCACTCCCCTCAGCATTGACACACATGTGGAACGGAGCTTTGGGCCAAGAGCCAACTTTTGGTCCATCCTGTAAAGACGTTTTCGAGAGGTCTGCCAATGCTATATGTTAGCATTGGCTAATTCTTTTCTGGGTCCACCCCCATCGGCCCGGGGTGGTATTGCAAGCATGTCAGAGAACACACACTTTTGAGCTGGGACCCGCCCCCACTGATATATATGCAAACCTGTATTTTTAAATGTGTTACTTTTATCTCTGTGCAGCACTTTGGAATATTAAAAAAAAATATATATATATATAGATGTGTAAATAAATAATGTGCTATATAAATAACTATACTATCAATAACTATAACTTATAAATACCTATATAAATAATGTGCTATATAAATAACTATTACTCCAGAACCCCGGTCGGAACGGGGCCTTTCTGCCCCGTTTCTGTCTGCGTAGGTTTCCTCCGGGTACTCCGGTTTCCCCTACCACTAAAAACAATTGCAGCAATGCAAACAATGCAATAGTTCTATAAATAATGTAAATAATATAAATAATGCGCTATATAAATAACTATACTATATATATATATATATATATATATATATATATATATATTTGGATTATATTTTTCTGTGCTGTAAAGTGTGATCAATAACGAGATAATCTAAATTTAACTTTTTTTTATTTAGAAAATCCAAGAAACGGTAAAACAGCAGCATTCAGCTTTAGGTCAATTTTAACATTTTTGAGGAAACATAATAATAGTTGTGTTTAACAACTACACGGACAAAGAATCATGAAAGTAATTTTTATTTCTTTTTATTTTCTCATAACTGCTTTTGGATGTGTAGTTTTGTGTCTGAATGTGTGTGAGTGTGTGTGTGTGTATGTCTGTGTGTGGGTCTGAATGTGTGTGTGTGTGTTCTAAATTGTGAGGTGTCTTTGAGTTTCTGAAAAGCGTTCCATAAAACCAATATATTATTATTAAACATTACTTTTAAATATAAATGAATTATTTACAATCGTTTGGTTTTGATGTGTCCGCTTTGTCCGACCCCTTTTCAAAATTGTGTATAACTGTTTATTTTGTATCCTCTTTATTGTTTTGTGTGAAATATGTGTTTGAGGGCCTTGAAAATACTAAATCATTCAGTAGTTATGAAACAAAATAGATAAAAACTCATACTGTACTCACCAATATTGATCAAAAACGCAGTGGATTATTTCAGATTTGCGACAGAAAGGACTCACCTGGACCTTGTTTAGTTTTGGACTTAGACGGTGAGATTTCAAAACCAGTCCAACTTACATTTATTTTAGTGAATTCTGAATGTGAAAATCCCTGTGATGTGAAACTTCAGCTAAAACAGGTTGTTATGATAAAAGTATATTCTTATATTATTATTATCTCCATATGTATAAATATGTGTATATTTTTTGTGCTGTGGTTCCTTGTCTTCACATTTCCGAGTGGCTATACATATTTTATTGATACAATTTTTGTATTGAAAGAGTTTACATCTTGTTAGTCACATGTAGTGTAAAACTTTTAGACTTATTTTTTATAATTATTCTTTTCAAGATAGAGATTTTATACCTGTTATTGACGCTAGAGTGAGAGATTTTGTTATAGTTTAATTTGTATAGTTATAGTTCATTTATCTTGTGCTGTTTGCTCCTCTTTCCTACTGTTCTATCACTTGTGAAATTTCCCCACTGTGTGATATATAAAGGATTTCTTAATCTTAATCTTAATCATTGTGCACATAAATAGGTGTGTAGCCTGCTTTCTTTATGTCTGATGAAGGGTAATCTTTCCCAAAACCTCACATTTTGGCAAAATAAAATATTCTCTTCTGAGCTACATCTGTGCAGAAACATTATTTCATTTGACTATTTTAGACTTTTTGCACGGTACTCATATTTGGATGTGCGCGTTAGTCAAGAGATATAAACTTCCCGTATCATCCGTCTCCAAATGACCCCATATGTAGTCCGCCTCTTTATCCCCAATCCTATGTTTTACAACAAGGCGAGATATAGGGGCATGTGCGGTCATCTAGAGCCAAATGTCTCCGATCTAACCACAGGACACGGAGATACAGTATTTCAAGCAGGATTTATGGCAAAAAACAGCATTAGCTAAAAACCGTCAGGCGGTAGCATGGGCTAAAAAACGTATTCTTGTAGCGGAACCCGGCGAGATTGGAAAATTGCGGAGAGGAAAGCAGTAAAAATGATGGTAGATGTTGGAAGGCGGGGGTATATCGCTGAGAACATGAGAGACGATATATCACAGTGGTCACACGGGGCCCCCCTTCTAGATCAAACACTTCAATTTATTTATTTATTTTTATATTTCCCACAACTCCAGACCGCATCAGAGGTGGGAGGTCAAAGAGGAAGAATGAGGCTGCTTGGGATGAGAGGGAAAAATTAATCTGCGGTTAGCAAAGGCTGGAAAGGGGTTGAAAGGGGTGGAGGTACATGCATGGGTCAGGGTGGAGAGGGCGGAGGGGGTGGAGAGGGGGGTATAGGACAAAGTGTCACTAGCTATAAAGCGTGACACAACATCCTGGCAACGGGACGGGTGCAAATGCGATCACTCACAGGAGACGGCAGACTTTGGCCTGAATGTGTGTGGAATGATGCGAGCGGCTGTTTGTCAAAGCAGTGTGGGCTCCAGAGCTGTCCCTGTTATAGAAATCTTATAGTAAAGCATAAGATTAGATAAGGTAAGATAGATTTTATTGATCTCTGATGGACAAATGTACATGTCACATTAGTACAGATAGAATCATTCAGATTGTGTAAAAGACAGAAGTTTGCAACATGTTAAAGATTTAAAAAGTCTGTGCAGGATATAATTATGTACAATAATTAAAGAAAAAGTGGCGCGCCTTTCTCAGACCAGAGTCAAAGCGGTTTACAATTGTGGGCATTTGTCTCTCACTCCACACAGGGAGCCAGTACAGGAGGCACATTCAGACCTATAGTACATGTTTTTAGTGGTAGGGGAAACCGGAGCACCCGGAGGAAACCTACGAAGACACGAGGAGAACATGTAAACTCCACTCAGAAAGGCCCTGTTCCGACGATTCGACCCAAGGACCTTCTTGCTGAGAAGCGAGATTGCTATTTACTCAGCCCATAGCAGTGCAGGTTTTTCAGTGCTAGTGCATTAGTGACTTAAAGTGACTTATTGTACAGTCTGACAGCGGTGGGGTTAAAGGCCCCATAGGGAATTAACATCAAATAGTTATACGAGAAAGTTATTGAGTTATTCTCAACTCTGGATTGAAATACAGCACATATGGTCTGTTGGCAGCTGATGGATGGGAGACGGGTTTGACCAGAGATGACAGAGAATATTATTTTGATATTTCACATTTGAGGCCACACATTATTACTCCATTTGTTTAATATCTAGAGTAGATATTGGTGGTTTACACTGGTCTGTTTAAAATCCAGTCATTTTCTCATTCATGGTAGATGGTTGTCACATTTACAAATAAATAAATTGACCCTTTGACTGTAATTACAGCTGTTGGTAGTTTACATTATTTTTGCTCTCGGCCTGTGCAGAGATTCCACAACAGCCGCTGTGTGTGTGGTTTGTGTGTCTCTGTCTATTAACTACCTTTAAAAAGCTTGGGCCATGTTTACACACGCATAGACTAAGAGACACACACATAGACTTAGACACGCAAACATAGACTTGGAAACACACACACACACGCACACACAAAAACACCATTTGAACCAAACAAGGTATAAATACTGACTTGACACTTTAATGTCCGGGGACGGTTTGTCCGGGATTAGAAACTTGTAACCCAGAGCGGGTCCTGACACCGGCAGGATGGAGGTGCTGCGAGGGGCCAGGTGCATAGAAGCAGGAGGGGGGGGGGGGGCTCTATTACCAGAGTCTATGTTTGATGAATTAGGGCATCGCACATGGAGCTGAGAGGAAGACTGTCATTCTGTTGCCAGCTTTTATTGTCTTTGTGGAAGCTAAGGCTGTGGAGGCTGTGGAGACTGCGGAGGCTGTGGAGGGTGTGGAGGCTGTGGAGGCTGTGGAGACTGCGGAGGCTGTGGAGGGTGTGGAGGCTTTGGAAGCTAAGGCTGTGGAGGTGTTGTGTAAAGAGAAAGGGCCGGTGTCTGTCCTGAAGCCCATAGAGAGAAATATTACGTACTGAAAAATTAAGTGCTTTTCGTCTCTCCTTGATCCTGTTGACGGTACTTCGCACCTGGGGAGAAGAAGAGAAGCAGCGATAAAACAGTATTCTTCAAATCAGTGTCAACGGAAACGTCAACGTCACCTCTGTAATTAGGAAAACTTTATATTCACAGTATCTTAACTGGAAATATGTTACAGTTATACTGCCCATCATGTTTATTTATGTTAATATTCATATATGCACCTGTATTTATTACACAGACATAGGTATGTACAGTACAGGCCAAAAGTTTGGACACACCTTCTCATTCAAAGAGTTCTTTATTTTCATGATTATAAAATGGTAGACTGACACTGAAGGCATCAAACCGAATGAACTCATGTGGAATTATGTACGTACTAAAAAAGTGAAAATATGTGTTATATTCTGGGTTCTTCAAAGTAGCACCTTTTGCTCTGATTACTGCTTCACTCTTGGCATTCTCTTGATGAGCTTCAAGAGGACCTGAAATGGTCTTCAACAGTCTTGAAGGAGTTCCCATGATGCTTAGCACTTGTTGGCCCCTTCACTCTGTGGTCCAGCTCCAAAACCATCTGGACTGGGTTCATGTCCAGTGACTGTCGAGGTCATGTGGCCCAGCACCATCACTCTCCTTATTGGTCAAACAGCCCTTACACAGCCTGGTGTGGATCTACAGCAATAGTCATGAAAAGACACTCAGGGAAGGAGAGAGGGTGTCCAAAGTTTTGGTCTGTACTGTACAAAAAATATGTATAGGTTTGTATCAAATAAGATCGGCCAAATTATAAATAGACTAGTTTTAAACATAGATAGGCAGATAGACAGATGTGTGCCTGTGTAATTAAGATGAAACCCTTTCCATCATGATAAAAAGACAGATTAAATATAATTAGTTTGACAAAGTTTAAAATATATAAATACATACAAATACATATATATTTTGTAATTTAATATTTCAAATTATTTATGAGTATCATTTGTTTCTTTGGTACAGAGCAGATTACGTCTGACACTCACGAAACACTTTCATTCAGAAATTCACAAGTGCAAGTATTCAGAAAATAACTCATGTTGTGATACGTGAGAGTCGCTTGAAGGGTAATAAAAGGACATATGTTTACATCTCGGTCCTTCCCAACAGATTAGTGAATAATAAAATGGTTTACGGCTTCATTAAGTCCCGTGTTATAAATGATGTCAGTGGAACAAACACAGCAGAGGCAGCGGTTTTGCATAAAGGCCTCATAATAAAGAATGCACGGCGTGACGAGACTGAGCCACGGGCGTCATGTGACCACAGGCGTCATGTGACCACGGAGTCTGTAGCGAAGCCTTCAGAAAGCAGACACGGAGCCATAATGTTATTTAATGCAGAGGAGAATATCCCGGGGATTTAACTCATATCAAAAGCAGAGAGCGTGCGGAGGCAATTACATGACACAAGTTAATTAATCATTTGACAATGAGGGGAAGGGCATTGTTTTAGATGATTGTTGTGTGTTTAAGGGGATTTGTGTGTACTCAAGGTTTCAAAATGATGCAATACACAGCTCCCCATGCAAATAGGCACACAAACATTTCCATATGAAAGCAGAGCAGCACACAACACCTGCCGACATCCTTGGAGCTGATGGAATAAAAGGTCATCAAAGCCTGGGATTACAAGGTGACCACCAAGGAAAAACTAATTGCAATGAATAATGGAGAGCTATTGTCAGGTAATTAGCAATTAAAACATTATTTTAGTTTAATAGCTGTATAGAGGCAGTTTGTGTTTAGCATCGTGTCTGGGATTATGAAGCTGCGGAAAAGAGGTGGATTTGGAAACTGGTTTTTCTTCACAAATCAAAGAGAAATGGAAGTAATGTTCAAGACCTTTTCTTTATGAGGCTGATTTCACCCGGAACATATCCAAAGTTTCCAAAAATAACGACAAATGTAATGTCTATGAAAATATTTGTTTACAAAATAAACTTGTATATAATTATGTTTTAATGTGTCATAGCCTCAATTTTTGTCTTAATTTTGTTATAACTTAAAAGTGAAAAGAGATAGACGCTTCATGTAAATCAAAAAAATGATAAGAATGACCGAAAGTTTATGTAGGAATAAAATATACTCTTTGCATATTATGACTTCATACGGTGTTGGCAAACGTGGTTTTTCATGATTTTTTGGGATACATTTTAAATTTGTGCCTAGAGGGTTAAATCCCTGTGTGATTTGTTTTCATTCATTCATTTTCAACCCATTTATTAGTCAATTTCTGCGTCGGGACGGTGACAATCAGAGCTGCACCCAAGGCTCAGTGTGGTTTTTAATTGTGTTCTAAACATAAACTCTAAATATGAAGTTTTAAATGGTCTTTAATGTGATGATTTGTGTTGTTTTGTTTTGCCCTGTGAGGGAAAGGCACTCTACAAACTAACACTGATTGATAAATAAATACATATTTTGAGTGAATTCATTTTTCTTCATTTGAAAATAATAACAGTGTATAATAACTTCTGAAGTTTTACATAATGAGATGCGTGATAAACCCCTCAAATACATACTATATACTGATAATAATAATCATTGATAAATCCCTCAAATACATACAATAGTACTGATAATAATAATCATTGATAAATCCCTCAAATACATACAATAGTACTGATAATAATAATCATTGATAAATCCCTCAAATACATACAATAGTACTGATAATAATAATCATTGATAAATCCCTCAAATACATACAATAGTACTGATAATAATAATCATTGATAAATCCCTTAAATACATAGAATAGTACTCATAATAATTGCAGGGGTTTGCCTCACTTTCCAGTCCGTGCATGGTCTAAAAAAAGAATAATGGCAGTGTTTGACCAAGAGTGATTTCAATGATTCTCCTCCATTTAATCCATCCTCCTCCACTCGGTGACACCCTCCGCCTCCACAAATCTAAATGGTAATACCAGAGTGATATTCTCGCATAGCCCACCGCCGCTTGCATATCGTTTTTCTCCGGTTTCTCCCCTTTCTCTCTCTCGCTCTCCACGTGGACCACAGCGGCGCCCGGGTGTGCGGCCAGTGGCTTTGTCAGGATGCTAAATGGAGGTCCGTGAGTTTAAAAACTTAAAGAGGCAGTGAAATATTATCCAATGTGGGAGAGGAATGAGTGGCTGAGGAGTGCGGCGTGTCAGTGTTTAATGGTGGGACTCAGATGCATATAAGTTAGTCCAAGCATGAAGGGCAGTGGGACGATGGGAACGACTACCCCCCGCCCTGCCGCCTTGCCCCCCCCTGCACCATCCCTCCTCTCAGCCGCACACACACTCACGGCACTTAAGCACGAAGCCCATCAGAAACTTGTCATTTCTCTCATTCACTCCGACAGCCTTGAGACACAATGCAGACTTACCTCTGTGTTGTACACCCCATATATCAGGAAGATGAAGAGGCCCTGCAGGAGGGAAAGACAGAGAGAGTGCGGCACAAGGAAGGGAAGAGAAAGAGGACAAAGTTGTTACGGTTGTTTTCTCACTTATTTCCAGTGGTCAATTTTACAGCACACACTCAATCTGCATGTTTGCTTATTACTAGACATGAATGAATGAATGAGGTTTACTGTACAATTTTACACATTGTTACAGGACGGTAAATTACAGCAGCAAGAAGTAAGTAAGTAAGTAAGTTTGTATTTATATATCGCCTTTTCACTGCAGATCTGAGTCTCAAAGCGGTTTACAATTGTCAATTTTTGGGCATTTGTCTCTCACTCCACACAGAGATGGGAGCGGGGTCGCCAGTACAGGAGGCGCATGCCAGAACTATTGGACATATTTTTAGTGGTAGGGGAAACCGGAGTACCCGGAGGAAACCTACGCAGACACGGGGAGAACATGCAAACTCCACTCAGAAAGGCCCTGGTCCGACCGGGATTCGAACCCAGGACCTTCTTGCTGAGAGGCGAGAGTGCTATCCACTCAGCCACCGTGCCGCCCACAGAAAAAGCACAGGAGCTATGTCGTTAGTATAAGAGTAATTAAAGTATCTGGATTTAAAAGGTTATAACTCAAAAACAAAAATTTTCATCATAGATTATAGAAAAAAATATTTCAAACACACACAGATCAAAGAGAAAGTGTGGATAAAATAAAAAGGAAAGATCGACAAATACATTTTCGGCGACATTTTAAACGACCAGATCAGCCTCTGATTGGATCATTCTGTGACTCAGAAAATAAAAAGTCTGAAAAAACGGCAGATGAACTTTCACAAGATAAAGGAAATCACTGCATTTAAAAAGGAGTCATTAAAAAAATTTAAAATAAAATGACCCTTGTAACGGACGTGATGGTTTCTGTCCATTGTTTTCTAAAAATGAAACTTGAGAAAAAAAGGTTTGGGTTCACATTTAATTAATTTATCATATGACTTTGTTTTTACTCTGTGTAAATAAAATAAAAATAAGAATATATAAATCAAATATGGATCTAAAATATGTAACAAACTTCCACATCTCATTCCGTCAAAGGATCAGGTTTGTTACAACAAATAAACAGAGCTTTAGGAAACTGAACTCATTTATAAAACAGTTTTTTTCTAACAACTTCCACTGGACACAGGTGTTTGGAAACATGAAAAACATCAAATATCTTATAATTATTCAAATCTAATTGTCTTTTGTCACATTTTTGTCCCCTTTAGTCTGAACAAACCCATAGTAGCATTTAAATGAGCAAATATTTCAGTTCCAAAATGATAGTTTTAAACATAATTTTAAAGAGTGTTTTGACAATGATCGTTTACAATTTTATCTGTTTTACATAAAGAATATCATGTTGTGGTTTTCGGACTTTATAAAGATACTGTTTGATCCTATAACATTCACTGCTTGAAGAGAGCAATGTACATTTTTCTTTTTTGGATTTGGAAGTTGTAGGAGCACTAATAACACAAACACTGTATTATTTCAGTAATAATAATAATAATACATTTATTTATAATGCACCTTACATTTCCGGGAAACCTCAAAGTGTTACAGACTAAAACACAATACCACAAACAACAACACAAAGCAAAATAGTTGAATGTTTTTAACCCAGACTTTTACCACATGATTGAGATGTACTTTGAAGGTAAAAGGGCCTAAAACCAAGTGATAGAGATTCCCCAATGAGGTAGATTTCAGTTCTGACCCTCGAGAAGACAAAGTGACACAAGTAATGGGTTAAAACGACCCATTCTGTCCAAATTCATCCAAACTCCTGCCACACAATGATTTTTACTGTTTTACTATTTCCCCGACTCTTGAGGGTGGTTCAGTGTGAGTCCTGTTTGTGTTTCATGTCCTAATGATTTGTGTACAAAAATATATATTACATGAAAATTCCCGATTGCCACCACCGTGGTGAGACCTCACACACGGAGATTAAAAATCAAGGGTCTAACCTCTTTGGTCGTACAGTGTGTGGTGCACAGCCACAAGGCAAAATCACGCAAACCACACACATCACACACGAACCGATTTCCCCCCCGAGCATTCACAGATGAGACGGAAATCTCACAAAATCTCTCGAGATCAAGCGTGACTTCAGAGTAAACAATCATGGCGGACGAAGAGGATGCAGTGGCGATAGTTTGTTTTTAGCAAAGAATCAAATCAAAAATCAATCAAAAGAAAAGGCGATGGTCAAAGAAGTGTAGACAACACGAGCAGGACTATACTTGCTACATCGTGATCTGGAGGTGAGTTGTTTTTTTACGGCGTTTCCTCGCCGCCTTGTCTCGTCTTCTGATTGGCTACACGTCGCAGTCATGGCAACGCGCTCATCTGTCCTCGGGGGACACCACACACGAAGAGAAATCGGGCCAAAACAATCCAACAGGATATCCCCGATATTGAGATCGGAGCAGTCCCGAAGTCCTTCCGAGCGACGAGCACAGTCTTAACACACCACACACGACAGGAAAATCCATCAGATTTATTGTTAAGATATTCGGAGCGTTCTTACGATTGTCGTAGGGGTAAATCGGGTCCAAAGTCGGCCTATTTATCCTGCCGTGTGAACCAGGCTTTAAGTATCTTCCCATGATTTACAAATATAAAGCTGAAGTCTTGGAAATGGTTCTTTACAAACAAAACACTGTGTAGGAGTGAAGAAAATAACAGCAAAACAATCAAGCATAAATAAAATAGTTTAAACGGATGGAAGTGACGTATTTCAGTCATTTAAACAGACTATAACGGCTGTCAAGGTGTATTTGTTTAATTTACAATCAACATACTTACATAATTCCAGCTTTCACTAAAGGTTTCAAAAGATGTTTTCAAGGTTACATCATCACCGAAAAGAAAACAACAAGTGGAGAAACCAGCCTTGTTTTTATTCAAATATATGTTTACTGCAGGAATGTGACAAAACACACAGATTCAACGAAGAGGAGACAAATGCTGCAATCAGAGAAAATACAAAAAAGACGCACAAATCCTCATAAAGAGAGCAGTCGATGCCAGTCAAGACAAGACCAAGAGAGTCTATTGAACAGAAGCGGGGAAAAAATAAAAACCAGAGGTAGCATAATGGAAAAAGACAGATAAAAGAAGATATTTCACGTTCACAAAACTCCACAGCTAGTGCGCCGAGCCCGAGAATGCCGTGCCCTTGGACACACAGAGGCTGCACTTGTGGTCACAGAAAACCTATTTTTCATTCCAATCTATTGTGGTATTCGCTGAATGTACGAGCATTGAACGCACAACCATATTGTAATCTTTGTTGCTTTAATGGGAACAGTGAGACACAAAGCCCTGATTGAACGCTGTCACAAAAAATGTACTGGAAAAACATGAAAAGGTGAAATCCTATAAATTTCAAGGCTAAGAGATTCAGGAGGACTTGGACGAGCCAAACTTGTGTGTTGAGTTTAGAGGGGAACTTTTCAAGGTACGTCGGACTTGACTGACTTAAAAAATAATAAAATATAGTTGTTGCTGAGTCCGAACTGATGGCGTGGGACTGGACAGTGGCCTTGCGCCTCAAGAGGGTTTTTAGGGGGTCTGGGGCGGACCAGAGAGGTGGCGAGCTGGGGTGGGCTTGCTCGTACACACCCCATCCCAAAACAAAATGACCGGTAGAACGTTCTACTTCTGCTGTGAGGAGCCTGTTATTCTAACTTTGTTACTGACTTCTACAAGATCCTAAATGTACAACATACATATGATATTTAAATTTATTTTTATTTTTTTAACATTTTGAAGAGGTTGTTAGAATGTGTTTGCCCTATGTATGTATGTATGTATGTATGTGTGTATGTATGTACTGTACATACGCGCACAGAGACGTACCACAGACAGACACACGCGCCTACCACACAGAGACAAAAACATGCATATACACGTATGCGCACAGAGACGTACCACACAGACACACACATATACATACACATACGCGCACAGAGACATACCACACAGAGACAGACGGGTACAGTCGCGGTCCCGCGGATCACAAAGCAAACTGTGTCAAAGCGATGCTCTGAACTACATCGTGGATCTATAATAATAACATGCACCACGTCTCTTCTCCCTAAGGGTGTATTCAGACCTGCACATTTGCTCCACTTTAAACGGACCAGCATTCGTTTGGAACTCTGATCCGAAGCTTTTATGCAGGTCTGAATACACACAAACGAATCCTGGTCCGGACCAAAGAACCGAACCGAGACCCACTTTTTTAGGTGGTCTCGGTCCGCTTCCAAACGAATTCTGGTCCAAGTCGAATCAGGTCTGAATACATCCGGTGTTGATCCGACACAACTCCAAGATACGTGCGCATTTTTTGGGCTTAACAAGCCGCAGACAGAAACTGAGGAATTAGCCATGCAGCGGCTAACTATGCTGCTAACGCTACACAACAACAATGAGCCGTGGGCAGACCTGGAGCAGTGAGGAGACGCTGTGCAACAGGCTTATGGAGTTAAAACTGTTCACAGTATGCGGTGATGTTAATGGCAGCATCTACAAATCATTTGCATTATTAAAAGCCTGACACTGTTTGACTCACGTCTCAAAGAGCAATATCCCGCATCATGTAGTGAATTGTGTTCTTTGGTTCCTACCTGATCCTCAGCGTCTGTTTGTTCCGTGGTTATTATAGATCCATGGTTTATCCACATGCTGAACAGGGCCGTTATTATAATAGATCCATATGTGGGACAGGGCACGGAGCGCACAGACAGTCTCCTTCGGCTTTCTCCTCACGATTCTCCGACGCTGTTCCAATATTTAAAACAACGTGTTTAGCCTGTGTCATATGAGCTGCTGCTGTTGATGTTGAAGGTGGTTTTGCTCTAAAAAGAGCAAACATAGGCAGAGCAGACATGCTGCACATACGAGCCCTCAATGTTTTCTGCCGGTTCCGCGTCTATCCTCCGTGAGCTCTTGCTGTCCAATAGGAGCGCCGATCGTTACACGTGTCAATATGTTAATATAAAAAAGTTCACTTGCAAAAAGGACAGTCTGAATACGAACCGGAGCAAAAGAAAAAAAAGTTTGGTCCGCTTTTGATTCGGATCAAGCAAGTGGAGCAAAGGACTTTTCAGGTCTAAATACACCTTAAGTATTGGGGCACCCCGCAGGCACGCGCAAAATCTAGGGCAAGGGTGCTTTTTAAGGGCAAGGGTGGGAATTGGGACGGGGCCTTTGTGTTAGCAGCAGAGGGCCACATTAAATGACAGAGGCCCGAACTTGGCCCACAGGCCTGAGTTTGGACATACCTGTGGTAGGGGAAACGGAGCACCCCACTCAGAAAGGCCCTGTTCCGACCGGGATTTGAACCCAGGACCTTCTTGCTGAGAAGCGAGAGTGCTAACCACGCCATCCCCGACGCACAGGGGTTCGTTACGATTGTGTTGCATTAGATTTGCAATTTTCAGCTCATTGTTGCAATTTGATTTTCATGTTTTTGATCCTGTTTTGTAATTAATGTTTTGTTGTTTGTGAACAAAGCGGAGACAGCGCTGTGAGAACATTAGGGAACTATTAGATCATAATTGAGTTAAAAATAAGCGGCAAACATAATGAAGGATTGTTTAAAATGTTAATTCATTAATATTTCCAGTAAAAACAAACACAGCAGAAAAATGGGCCACGTTATTTAAATGCACTTTTCTAAACTCAGGCCTTTTCTTTTGAACTCTGCGGCAAATGAACAAATTTATGCTAAAATGATCTTTCAAAGTATTGCCTCACTTCAAACATCACACGGTCATTAGCCGCGCGCTCATTAGCAAACAATTGTATCTTTAAAAAGTTAAACAAACAGGAACCAAAAACAAATGTCACCCGAGAGGTTTTCCACACGAGGCTGAGAGGCGTTTGTTTTGGAAGTAACTGTAGTATTTAGAGTACTCGAGTAACTATATCCACTACAGTTACTACTTTAAAGTCTAGTCTTTGATTGCAGTTACTTTCTGAAAACCACAGAAAACACACTTTCTCACATTAAGATCCATCCATCCATTTTCTTCCCCTTAATCCATTTCTGGGTCGGGGGGTGGCAGTCAGAGCTGCACCCAGTACACTCAGCACCAGCCCCTCCCTGATCCTCCTGCAGGTGGTGAGTCCACAGGAGCTGAGATCTTTCAGTGGGGGCTTCAGGCAAAGTGGGGTTAAGTGTCTTGCCCAAGGACACAACGACAGCAGTCATCAGCGGGAGTCGTGAAGTAGGTCTTACGGTGGGCTCGAACCCATGACCTTCAGGCCCAAAGGCCAATGCTCTACCAACTGAGCTACTGTCGCCACATTAAGATCAAAACAATAAAATAAAAGTGAAGATTCTATTTTCTCTTTTCAGATGTTGTATTTATTTAAACATTTATTGAGGTGATTTTCAATCTTCTGAAATTTACCTTTTACAATAAATAAGTATAAATAAAAGTATTCAGAATACAGGCACTATTTTTACAAACAAACAGAATACTAAACCACATGTTAGGTCCTGTATATGTGAGTTCTGGTTCTGTTTGTTGTGTTTGTTTATGTAATAATTTAGTTTTGTTAATATTTGACTGTTGCTGCTGGATTGCTATTTTTGTATTTGATTTTTCGCCCTCGGAGATGATTAATTTCTAAACAGATACAGATGCCCTCACTCATGTACTTTACGCATAAGTCTAAACACTGTATTCTTGAATGATGTCGTGTCTCCTCCTGAAATGCATCTAAACTCGCTAAATTAAAGCTGGGGTATGTACATTTTTCCATTCAGTAAGAGTTGGTGTTGCCCAAAAGTAAAATGTTGTGAATCAGATTTAAGTACATTTGGTTTGAATGACACTTAAATTATCCAATAAATTTCGTTCCACTTCACGATTGTGTCCCACTTGTTGTTGATTCTTGACAAAAAATTAAATTTGTATATCTTTATGTTTGAAGCCTGAAATGTGGCGAAATGTTGAAAGGTTCAAGGTTCAGATACTTTGGCAAGGCACTGTAATACATCTTCAAAGTATTCTCCCAAACTCTGCTGAGAAGGAACTAAAAATCAGGTACTAATTGAAAAGATTGTGGATAAATGAAATCCAAATGGGCCGCGGTGATGGTGGAGGAGGCTTACATCGTGACATTTTACTGTTTCCTATTCAAATGTTGAAATAAAGAAAATTTACCGTTTTTTTTCTACTGCACAAAAGACAGTCTTAAAAGCAGAGACGGGTTTAAAACATGAAAAACATTTACAGCAACTTGAAAAATGAATAGAGCCATTATAGGTGTTCATGAATAAGCAGCAGCACATTTTCAGTGAACTGAATACATTTACTAGAGAGTTTAATTTACACTTTTTAATATAAAAACAACACATCACAAAACCTTCGTAGAGTTAGCATTACAGCAATATGCAAACGAGGAGGTACGTCCTAATGACACGAGGAAGTCCCCTGGCAAGAGCCAGATTGATGATTGTGTAGAACTCTAATGCTTTCTCCACAATATCAATCTGGGACTTCTGCAGGAGAATCCTTTTGGGGAAAGGAGGGATAAGCAGCAGAATACTTCAAGGTGATTGGGCAAAGTGACGCTGTGTGCCCGCCTACCAAGGTTTGACTTAAACCAATCCCGGTAACATTATATCGTCATCGGTGTGCACAAAGCGCCTCTCGCTGTTCATCTTTCAAAAAATAAATTGGAGATTCTGCTAAAACTGACTTGATAGCCTCAGCTAAGCGTCCGTCCTCCTGCGTAGCCATGTTTGTATCCGGGTTTGCTTTCGTCAAACCCGGATATCCCGCCCTGAACCCCCAGACTGGCGTGTGATTGGCTTGAACACCTAGATGTTCTAGTCGAAAAGGGTTGGCGGGAGCGGGGCGAGATGTATTCTCGAGTGTTTCTGAACTCACAAATACCGCGAGAATTCAGCTTGCAGGCAAGGTTAACGAGGAAGAGAGGGATTGGAGACATTGATGTTGGAAGCAAAGTCTAAATTGTGGGTGTATATAGCTAGCCTGGTGTTTACCCTTCATGTCGTACTAAGGTCTGGATCTGTTCCATTGACTCCGTTAACAGGTGGGAGGGGTTAACTCCTTTTGCAGATTGAAACCATTGGATCTGAGTTTACTGTGACGTACAGTATGTAATGAGCCCGAGTGAGTGAGGCATTTAGCATTTAGCTTAGCTTTAGCCATCTCCATTGCCACTAACCGTGGGGAGTAGAGAAACAATGTGATAACCTTTTTTTTCCACAAGTTACATTTTTAGAAACAAATTGACAGATCAAGTCAGTTACACATTTTTCCAGGGTAATTTGAATTTGTATTGATTATTTTTTTTAAATGATTCCTTTTTAAATGTAGTGATTTCCGGATGTTGTGTTAATGTGAATCTGAGGAGTTCATCTTTGTCTCTGACCTTTTATTTTCTCTGGGTTTTAAAATGTATTTGCCGATATTTCCTTTGGATCTCTCTGATCTGTTTGTGTCTTAAATCTTTTCTCTACTCTATGATAGTAATTTTAGTTTTTGAGTTATAACCTTTTAAATCCAGATACTATAAATAACACTTTACCGTGAACACACCCAGACACAGAAGTTTAAAATAAATAAATAATTGGATTGTAAATCTTGATTGCAGTCCACGTTCTGTAGCTAGCTTAGCTCATAGATCATTAGCCTGTCCGTCCGGAGGAGCGGATCCCTTTCTCAAATGGGTCTCCCTCCCTGTGGGTTTCCCTAGTTCTCCCCAAGGTTTCTCACTTTTTCCCACTGGGTTTTTTAAGAGTTTTTCCTTGTCGATGCAGGAGGGTCTCGTGGACAGTTAGTGTCCAACAGAAAGGATTGGTGATGATCAGGACACTTTAGCATTCTACAACATGTATGGACATTTTCTTCTGTGTGTGCTTTATATTTTTCATGTGTTTTAACTGTTGATTCTCTGACCTGTGTTGGTGATTTCAATGGTTTTGTTAAGTCCTCTGAGATGACTTCTGTTGTGACCTAGGGCTATACAAGAATACATTGTATTGTATTGTATTGTAATAATTCCTTAGATTTGATTTTCTTCCAACTATAAACGCATCAGTTTACATCAGGGGTGTCAAACTCATTTTTGTCAGGGGCCAATCAAAAAATAGGAACTGGTCGGGGCCGAAACAATAGAAGAGATTTCCTTTTCTTATCATAGTTTTTTACATTATGAAGGTATTTTAATGTGACTTTAATGTGACACGAGTTTCACTGTAATTTTCTGGTTTCTTTTTCTGAAAACAAAATGTGTTTATTGTTTATATTGAACCAAAACTGGATCAAATATAAAGTTAAACACATTAAATCTTGGACTATTTAACTTGTAATGATGTGTTATTGGGTTAAAATGTTAGAATATATTAAATTTGGTTGATTTCCTAAGAAAATAGATGATGCAAAACCTTCCTTGGTCGCCCATTACCATCAATGCTGCAAGTTAATAATAATAAAAAATAATTTTAGGGGCCACTAAAAATTGTCTCGCGGGCCGGATCTGGCCCCCGGGCCTGACTTTGACACTCATGGTTTACATCCTCTGACCTACTTCCAACCTCCTAAACCTGACATTCCGCAGTGGCCCACACTCTTTGCTTCAGCTGCATCCTTCATGGAGGTTTTCCAGGCCCCGAGTGTCACCCAACGCCAAGAGGGAGAAAAAACGAGCAGGACCAGCCGTCAAATCCCTCGCCCCAAATTCAAACACACAGACACTTTTCACAAATAGAGCTATCTGCATCTCCACTCGGCCAAAACCCGTGACGCAAAAACTCAGCCCCAGCAGCTGGATGTCATTACCCGAAATGAGACACAGAAGAGGTTAAAACGCTGCGATGGGGGAAAGAGCAGAAATTCACACTTCTACGCTGGGACTTGCTAATGTCTCTGACCCCTCCATGCATAAACAGTTTAATTAACATGTATACATAACTTTCACTTTAACTGCTCGCGGCGTGTCAAATCAAAGTGTCTGTCAGAGCGGGGAAAACGGGAGTTGATACCAAGCAGGTCCGAGGTTCAATTCCACCAGTGTAAAACTTCTCCAGCTGGCCATGGGGCGTACAGGGGGGAGTCAGGCAAGGAGATGACTGGGCAGCAGGCCACAGTCTGTCTGTAGGCCTTATGTTTTTATGATTATCTAATATTGGCCTAATTTGGTGGGACTAATTCGGTTGTAAACACGCATCCAATGTTTTACACCAATCAGAAAATAGTTTGAGAAGAAACGAGAGAGTTCCAGGAATGATGGTGTGAAGTTCTATAATAAAAAACCCAAAAGCAGGGCGCAGAACGAGTCTGAAATACTATGCTTTTTTTATTTCACGGTGGCTGAGTGGTTAGGATTCTCGCTTCTCAGCAAGAAGATCCTGGGTTTGTAACCCAGTTTTTACAGGGTCTTTCTGAGTGGAGTTTGCATTTGCTCTCTGTGTCTGTGTAGGTTTCCTCCAGGTGCTCTGGTTTCCCCTACCACAGGCCGGGTGGAGGGAGTGGAGAGAAGCTGGGTGGAGGGAGGAGGGTGGAGAGAGGCCAGGTGGAGAGAGGCTGGGTGGAGGGAGGAGGGTGGCAAGAAGCCGGGTGGAAAGAGGCCAGGTGGAGGGAGGAGGATGGAGAAAGGCCGGGAGGAGAGAGGCCGGGAGGAGAGAGGCCGGGAGGAGAGAGCCCGGGTGGAAAGAAGCCGGGTGGAGAAAGCCTGGGTGGAGAGAGCCCGGGTGGAGAGAGACCCGGTGGAGGGAGCCGGGTGGAAAGAAGCTGGGTGGAGGAAGGAGGGTGGAGAGAGGCCGGGGGGAGAGAGCCCAGGTGGAGAGAGACCCGGTGGAGGGAGCCGGGTGGAGGGAGACCCAGTGGAGGGAGACCCGGTGGAGAGAGACCCGATGGAGAGAGACCCGGTGGAGAGAGACCTGATGGAGAGAGACCCAGTAGAGAGAGACCCGGTGGAGAGAGGCCTGATGGAGAGAGACCCGGTGGAGAGACACCTGATGGAGAGAGACCAGGTAGAGAGAGACCCGGTGGAGAGAGACCCAGTAGAGGGAGACCCGGTGGAGAGACACCCGGTAGAGGGAGCCACAGCCAGCCCCAGCCCCAGCTCAGTGAAGGCAGAGGAGTTATTAGCTTAGCCCTGAACCGGCTCCTTAATACTGGGCCTGAAGGTGATCGCTAACAGAGCCTGGAGGAGGTGACAGCTCTCGGCCCTGCTTCAGGAAATCCAATTGAAAAGCATCCAAGAGGAACAACAAGCCCGAAACAGATGTTGCTCGCCGCTGCTGCACCACTTCTCGGGAGTGCAGTACACACAACACGACACTACACAACACAACACTACACTACACAACACAAAGCCACGGGCGACACACTGGAGAGTTACTGCCAGAGAATAATGACCCGACAACTCTAGTGAGAAAATGCTAAACAAAATATACACATGAAATATAGACTTTACAAAGTGAGATATCAAACAGTACTGAAAATATTATTAAAACCTGAAGTAGATTAATTTTAATACAACAACATATACTAAAACCCTATAGATCCATAAAAGTGAATATTGATTCCTTAACTGTATGAATTTTATGTAAATATTGATTTGCTTTGGGTCTGTTTATTTTTGTCAGTTTCATTCTTGAGGTTTTCTATAAATAATTAAAATAAATAAATATTCTGTTAACATTTATGCCACTTCCTGTTTACACTTCATAGCCTTAACCCTGTCCTTTGCCCTCTCCATTAATAAAGTATTTTCAACATAAAAAAGGTTAAATATTAGTTAATTGTCCAAAATAAGCATTAGTAAATAGTTCCTGAAGTAAAAAAATTGGAATTGATTATTTTTTCACATTTTTAACTTAGAACTTTTACCCATTATTATGAAATGAGAGTGAATCAGTTTGATATGTTTGTGTCTAAAATTACAAATATGTAGAAAAAATACATTTTAACAATTAACAAAAATCTGCATCAGATTTTTAAAGATATTATTGTCTCATTAAATCACTAATTAATGTGAAATCCTTACAGTGTGTTTGACTTTTACATTTTATTTTTCTACAATTATTCTTCTTCAATTGTGACTGTGTCAAATTAGCCTGGCCTTATCCATCCGTACACTCCACTCAATCATAATTTCCTGCATGTACCCACTAAACATCCGACGTCCACTCAACCTCCAGATCACGTCAATATCAGGTCGGTCGGTCGTGACCTTTTATTCACGTCCAAACGACGTCTGTGTAAGGTGCGCATCTGGACGTAAAACAATGACCTCCCATAGACGTGGCAATTACGTCCAATCCCGACCTCCCCTAGACGTGGAAAACAGGTCATCGGCCGACCAACGCATTACGTCTAACGCATTACGTCTTGATCTAGCAATAGAAGGTATCGGCTGTGAAGCAGTTGGTGAGTGCCTGACGGTAGTGTAGTGGTTAAGCAAATGTATGCGGTCGTGGTAACGTGAGTTTGAGTCCACGTGTGAGCTTCATTAACTTTATATATTTGTTTTGATTTTTAGCGAACAACTTTTCTAATAGACACTCAATAAACTAATAAACACTCAACATAGGATTATGTAGTGGCTAATAAACTTGTGAACTTATGCATTTGTTGTGCTAACAATCTCAAGTTTGCAAATAAGGGGTGAGCACTTGAGATTGTATGCAAATGCATAAGTTCACAAGTTTATTAGCCACTACATAATCCTATGTTGAGTGTTTATTAGTTTTTAACCAGACAAAGAAAAATTGTTCGCTAAAAATCGAAACAAACATATAACATTGGTGAAGCATGGTAACGTGGGCTCGAACCTACGTTGCCACAACCGCACTCCTTTACTTGACCATTACACTATTGTCAGACTCTAACTCTGCAACTTTAAACTTACACCCAACCCGCTAAAGAACCAATGCTCACTATTGCTAGATCACGTCCTAACGAGTGGGTTGGCCGATTACCTGTTTTCCACGTCTAAACGACGTCTTTGAAAGGTGCGCATTTGGACGAAAAACAATGCCCTCCCAGACGTTGATATTACGTTAAATTTGTACCTCCCTATCTGCCCTGCTCACCCTCTTGTTGGAAACTTGAGATTGTTAGCACAACAAATGCATAAGTTCACAAGTTTTATTCTTAAGCACTACATAATCCTAGTTAATTGTCGATTATTTTTTAACCAAACAGAAAAAAATTGTTCGCTAAAAAGCGTAAATTTAGACACGCACCGACGTGGGCTTGAACCCATGTCGTCACGATTGCAATCTCATTAAGTAACCGCTACACCACCGTCAGACATTCATATTCAGCCATTGTAAAAACAGTATAGACAACCCCCTAAACAACCAACGCACACTTATGCGAGATTACAGCCTGACACGTGAGTCGGTCGAGGACCTGTTTTCCACGTCTAAACGACGTCTGTGTGTGCATCTGGACGTAAAACAATGCCCTCCCAGACGTTGATATGACGTTTAATCTGTACCTCTGTCGCTGCCCTGCTTTATTTACTTTCTTAAAAGGAGACTTGAGATAGTTAACATCACTAACATACATAAATTCACACGTTTTATTCTTAAAAGCTACTTGATACTATGTTGATTGTTGATTTGTTTTTAACCAAATAGAGAAAAAACCGCCAGGGTTTTGAACTCCCATTGCTACATCTACATGTCTGTTACTTATCCCCTACACCACTCTCGATATCAATGACTGACCAGTGAACATCCGAAGCTCACTTGTAGATTATGTTTCCGATGCGTCGGTCGAGACGAGGACCATTTTTTCACGTCTATACGACGTCAATGTAGGTTCCACTTCTGGACGTACAATAATGACCTCCAATAGACTCAATCTTTGAGTCAATTTCTGATCGCTCAGTCCATTCTTCCTCTGCACCTGCTTTATTTACTTCAAATCACCCTCTCTAGTAAGTACACAGTCGGCACACTTTTTAGATATACAGTGCCTTGCGAAAGTATTCGGCCCCCTTGAACCTTTCAACATTTCGCCACATTTCAGTCTTCAAACATAAAGATATAAAAAATGTATTTTTTGTCATGAATCAACAACAAGTGGGACACAATCGTGAAGTGGAACAAAATTTATTTATTGGTTCAGTACAGTAGTGTTCATAACACTGTGCCTGGTTTAACACAGTCTAACTTGTACTTTGATGTAGGGAAACATGATTTTTAATGCAGCTCCATGAATTTGCAATAATGACTGATATCCTTCTATTGTTCTAATGCTTTTTGAATGCTGTGTTTATCGTTTATTGCCCAGAGTCAAAACTAAACATGATAAAGCTGCAGTTCAGATTCACTAGGCTAAAATCTGGAACGGTCTTCCTGGAAATATGAGAAAGGCTTCTTCTTTGACAATGTAAAAATCCAGCTTAAAACAATTCTGTTTCTGCTACAACTGAGAGATTTTATTTGTATCTTTTTAATTTACTGTAATTATTTATAATTGTAATGCCATGTTTGATTGTTTCTATCTTTTGTTCAGCGCTTTGATTTTCCTTTTGTTTGAACTGCGCTATACAAATAAACTTGCCTTGCCTATTGCAATTATGTCTCGACTAGTAAGTGATTCTGCAGAAGTTAACTGGGTCAATAGGACTGTAAATGGACGTCATATAAACGTCAATATAAGACGTCGATAGGACGTCAGACCCGACCGGTTCTGTACCACATTGCAACCTTGAATAAACGTCCGGATAACGTACAGTTGACGTTGAAATGACGTTGTTTTGACATCGGCTTGCTTAGTGGGAACGACTGAAAACGAATGTCATATAAACGTCAACATTTTGGTCATATAAGACGTTGAAATGACGTTGTTTCAACGTCCGCTTGCTTAGTGGGTAACGTCTGGGTCTGGTCCCTGTGTTTACAATTACAATCGGTTGAATTCCATCCGACCAATCAGGGAGCACAGGAGGCGGGTGTTGTTGATGTGGGTGAAACAACGTCATAAAAGAGAAAATACAATCTTCACCTTAAAAAAACACAATGTTTCCGTTTTTTTAACCTAAAAACATAATGAGAGAAAGTATGAATTTTGTGATTTTCAGAAAGTAACTGTAATCTAAAGTAGTAACGGTAGAGGAAAAGTTACTCACGGTACAATTTTTTTTACGTTTTGTTTTTCATTTAAAGCGAAGAAATAAAAGGAAAAAAATATAACAAAAATAAATGACAGAAAATAAGGAAGATAGAATAATAAAGTTAAAAAAAATACTAAAATTTGTCTCTGTTTGAGTTTATTTTTTATAAATTCTACTCATTTGTTTTCATATAGATTCTTTTGACATCTGTGATAAAAAGTCTGCATCATGTGGAGATTGCAGCGACTTTAAAAACTAGCACAATGTATTAATTACTACATTCCTCCTTAAATTGGACACATGGTTTTATAATAACACAAACAAACAACAAAACAAAGACATTTCCGCTGAGTTTAAATTAAGACACGAGTGACTAAAAACAGCCAAGGTCGAGAGAATCCCGTTCTGTTGAGGAGCACAAACTAAATCCAACAGGAATTAAAAAGGAAAATATAGAAATAGCAAAGTTATTATGAAAATACACACTCCTTAAAACACCCAGTATAAGGTATAAGTACAGTATATATATAGTACAGGGTGGCTGAGTGGTTAGCTGTCTCGCTTCTCAGCAAGAAGGTTCGAATCCCGGTCAGAACGGGGCCTTTCTGAGTTGAGTTTACATGTTCTCCCCGTGTCTGCGTAGGTTTCCTCTGTGTGCTCCAGGTTTACCCTACCGCTAAAAAAACTTTTGTTCAAAAAGTGGGAAGTGAGATAAGCTCGACACGGTGAGTTCTGGCGCCCGGATCACAGAGTTCCTGATTGGTGAAACGGTGGAGGGCGGGACATTGAAATGAAAACAATAACAAGATTTAGAGGCTGTAAAAGTAATTTAAAGATTCAAATATCTCTGAACTACTGTTATCAGTTAAAGAAGTATTGGAAAAGAGCAGTTTATTATCATGACAGATAAGGGCCCTTTAAAGATGACAGATTAGGGCCCTTTAATGGTGACAGATTAGGGCCCTTTAATAATGACATATTCGGGCCCTTTAATGTTTACAAATTAGGGCCCTTTAATGA